GGTTGTTTGACTGCGGAGGAAGATTTTACCATGTGACTTACTTATCTGATTCATCAGATCAGCTTGCCGTAACAGTTTCTCCCTCCTAAAATCTTACTCACCCAATTTCTTCTAGCTAACGTTTCTAATTCTTGCTCTTTAACCCTAGCAAGATATATTTCTCTAATTGTTATTCCATCATCAAAATTTCTATTATCCTTATACATTAAATAGATTTTCATCGCTATTCTACGGCGATGTTTTGGGATCTCTTTTCCCCCTCTTTTAAATTCCACTAGTACTTCTCCTATTCTATAATACATTTCTTTGCTTAACCTCCTATCTCCTTTTAACTCTAACTCCATTTCTTTCTTTACCTCATCCCATTTTTCCCTCCACTTTCTTTCTTCAATTCTTTCCTTTTCCTCTCTCTTTCTTTTTCTGAATTTTCTACCTCGCTCTGGCCCACTCATTATCTTTTTGGACTCCTCTTCTTTTGTTTTTATTGGCTCTGTGGACTTAGTTTCTGTGGCTTGACGGATTTTCATTGGTTGTGGGCATTCTAGGGACATTTCTGTAGATGATTCTATTACTATGGAGTTTTCAGGGGCCTTTCCTTTAGTCCCAATTGTCTTCATCATATGGGATATCACTTGGGATTCCTTGGAGGAGTATGGAATCTTTCCAATTTGGTCTCCCTCCAACTGTTGGGTCCTCTGGTCCCCAGGTGGGTTTTTCGCTTTCATCATCCTCTTCTGAGTCTGAGTCTGGTTCTCTGTGGGTGGTAGGTGAGGCAGGGTTGTATTCTGGAGATTGGTAGGTATTGTCAATTGGGAGTTGTTCTGGGTAATAGACTGCCCAGTCCTCATCGTCGCTTGCAATACTACTGACTGCATCTCTTTCTCTGTCATTGTCATCGGATTGGTATTCTGGGGCATAGGGATATCCATTGGCAATTGTTGAGGCTTCAGACACTGCACTTTGAGCATCTTCATTATCTCTTTGTTGGTCGTTGTTTGTAGGTTCTGGAGGAATGGACCCATGGATGAATTGTAGGGCCATTCTGTGGATGTCTTCGTCGCTGTCTTCATTGTCACTATTGGCTCTTGATCCTGGCCAATCATCTCCATTGTCAGGTTCAGGTGATCCAGGGAGGATTGGATTATAGAGTCTTCTCCATCCATCTGGTTGCTGGGCATATTCAAGGAACTCATCCACTCTCCGTTGTGCTTCTGTGGACCATTGTTCTGTTCGTATATAGGCCCATAAGTCCAAGACATCATCGATGGAGCATTCAAAGACCATTGTGGTGCCTCCATATAGTAATTGGTAGCGGGTGTCATTTCCTCTGTTGAGCTTAACATGTTGATATTCCCATTGGTTAAGGAAGGGTAGGTAATAGATCCACTCAGGTTCTGGTTGACTTTACGCATTTCAAAAGACCTGTCCAATGATTCCACCGACGAAATTGGACAACAGACAAAGTACCAAGATCAGACGGATCTAAGCTCTCTATTCTTGCTGAAGAGTTGTTTGATAAGTTTGCGCTATCTAACCCAAATCCCCATCCTAAGGAAAGTGCAAGATCGATTAACCGATCAAGTGACGAGATAAAGCCTTTGGCACGGCTGGATAAATAATCGAAAGATGCTGGCTGCGCAATTGCAGATATCTGTTTATCGCTACCGCCCACGATCGTGACAGTACCAATATGCATCAATCGTAGGGAGGGGGTCGAACCCTCAAGGACTACGTCCAGAAACCTAGCAAGCGTCCACCTCTCCTCATCTTTGAACAATTTTCTCCACCATTTATCATATCCTCACTAACTTCGCCGTCACCAACTGTCAATGAACTGCCTCAAAATGACGTCGTTAAGGACTCAATCATGGCTCTTGGCTAACAGTATCTCGAATGCTATGTATTCGAACAACCATCGACGGGATCGCGGTATAAGAACATCAGCAATCTTAGAGGGTATCCCGTTGGGTAAAAGTGGCTGCGTTGGACCTACGTCTGATAATGTAATATGGAATGCTTTAAGGAATGTAGTGGTGGACGGCATTAATCTTTCAAATCCCAGCACACACGAATATTGTAAGAATAAGCAACTATTTACTTGTGGCAGTACAAAAAGTCTATGATATATTTTATATATTTCTAAATCGCGATGATTACGATACTCCGCTATTAGCTCTAAGGATCAAAGACGAAATCAATATATGATTTTTGAGAACAGCACGTTCTCGAATAATCGGAAATGATGAAGTAGTTTTGATCGTTCTTATCGATTAAATTCTCCGGTATTAACTGTCTAAGATAGTGTTGATAATAACGAGAGGAAAATGTTTGTTTCTAAAAATAATAAATAATATGATAATGAAATCAAAACGAAAAATGTGCGGACAATCAAGTATGTTTAAGATTTATCTCGTTCACAATATTAATATTAATTAGGTTACGTAGGACTTGGTTACTGAAGAGGCTCGTAAAAAAATGAGTAAAGCTAAGACTGGCTTTAATAATTCGATGTATGGTAAATCCCATTCCGTCTATATTCTAATACATTGATATAGTTACAATGATGATTTAAAATCTTTGTCTAAACGAAGTCGCTGATTTTATCTTTGTCATAAAGAAAAACTCTACTAGCCTGGTATTTGCTGGCTATATGCTTCTATCGCTCTTATAATAACAGAGCACATAAATTAACACTACCGCTCTTACTGAGCAGAACTACATCCTACCGCTCTTACTGAGCAGAATTACATCCTACCGCTCTTAGCGAGCAGATTAAATACAACTACACTGTGTGACATATCTATGCTACATACGTTGACGTAATGATAACACTATAACCTCGTAGGCATACTTTCACAAGGTTGGTACTATGTTGGAAATTTTAATTTGTCACACAAGGCTGCAATGCTTGACTAATGCTTTGTTTAGGATTGTATGATAATCGTACGACCCACGTGTATTATAATATTGTAGAAACATGGTTACAACATTGAAGAAAAAATTTGCGGTTACATAGTACAATGAATGCACAATCATTGAAAAAGGCTTGTTATTGGCTAAATGTAGTGATAATGTTGTTACTATCTTTAACTAGGATTGTACAATGCATGTTAAAGCCTTGTGAGGATTTACAGGGTTTCTGTAAAGTAGGATTTGTGAGCGCCTCCATGACGATTTAATAACATTTACAGTCACTTGATTCCATGCTGTTGTAGCAAAGTTGATCGCATCTAGAATTGTTAGGGGTGGCAATGCATCTAATGGTTTTGAGATAGAACTTGACATTTCTCCTAGCAAATTAAGATTGCTTCTGAGTATATCATATTCGTTGATGCGGTTCTCACATAGGATTGATTGGTAGTGTGCCTAAAGAAAGTTAATTAAATTTAAGGTTGTATCTCCTAATTATTTTAATAAATTTATTGCTTAAGTGCAAACGTACATACCTTTAAGCTATATATTATTCCTTGATCCAATGGCTGCAGGACTGAAGTAGTGTTAGGTGGTAAAAAATAAACTCAAACATTGGTCAATTTAGCTATTGCTTCTTCAGTCTTGTGGGAAGTGGCATTATCAGCTAACAGTATAATTTTTCGATTCTCTTTTCTCATCATACTATCCAAGCGATTAAGGTAATGCGAGAAAATTGATTGTACCATCCAAGCTTTTGTATTCCAATAATACCAGACAGGTATAAGGTAAACTCGATTTTGTGATTCCTTTAAGAGCTTGTGGCATTTGACTTTTATGGATAAGTAGGAGAGGCAGTTTTTTAGTACCAGTTGCATTACAAGTCACCATTATTGTTATTCTATCCTTGGGTTTTTTCCTTCCTGATATAGGATTATGGGCCAACGTATGTGATGGTTCAAGTTTCCAGAATAAGGCTGTTTCATCGCAATTAAAAATATCATCTGGATTATATTCTTGGAGAACCCTCTGTAATTCTTCATGATGCTTTGGAAGGTCTTGGTAATCAACACTATCTAACTCCCCTTTTCTTCTATACACCCACAAGTCATTTCATTCTTTAAAACGGTGAAGCCATCCATCTGATGCTGAAAACTTTTTTGAATTAATTCCTAGCATTTCAGCTAGTTTTTTCGCTTTTTTCTGTAGGATAGCTCCATTGAAAGTAATACCATCTAAAATCACTTGCTCACACCACATCGCAAGACTTTCTTCTATGATAGGAAAATAACTTTTCCGTTCTTGCTTGACGTTCGCTTGAATTGATTCATCAACTGCTAACCACCTATCTTTCGACTTGAGAATTTCGCTGACGGTTGACTCCCCAATTTTATACTCTGCTGCAATTTCAACATTTTTTAAATACGGGTTTTCTTTTTTTTTTGACATATTTCCTTCTTCATAACAATTGTAAGGTTTCTACATGCATTCTTTGATCTGGAACAATTGTCTACAACTCGGTGACGTTTTTTGGAAGAAGATTCTATGTCTAATGATGGTAAAACTTGTTCCTCACAATTACTTGAAACCTGAATGGGC